CTTGGCTTGGAACCAATGACTTTATGCAATTAATTGGTTTTTTCGGAGACAAACTCTCATCGATTATTATCAGCAAAAAAGCAATTGCTGAGTAAATTTTATAAATTTTTCATCATATTGGTGATACAAAAGGCATGTTGATGTTTAATAATTGATAGAAATTTATTATTGATGCGTTTCATTGCTTAATTATTTCCAGTTAATAATTGGACGTATCTGGATATCATACAGATGTTAATTATTTTATTTCTGAACAACCTTTTCTATATAACAGTTATTATTTCTGGCTAGTTTTCCAGGCTTACTCCATAAGCTATTAGCTATTAGTAGAGATAATCTTGTGAGAAAATCAGTCAGTCGCTTAAGGCTTGTAGAAGGATTCACGCTGCCCTACATTTAATTTAATTCTTACAAATGGAATAAATTTGAGGAATTTCAAATAATTGATGATAAAAAAAATGCTGCATATTTTAAATATGTAAAGTTTTACTACTTTTTTCAGAAACTATTGAATGTGTTTACGACACTTTGTCACAAAATAATTGTGGCGTCAATGCTTCTGACATTTCATTTAACAAATAGATATTAATTAAAAATTGTAGGAAACTGTGCTATTTTGTTTCCTTAGAAAAATAAGGCAATAAAATTCAACATTATTAGTTGCCTAATTTTTAATTAATATCTATTTGCCTAATTTAGCGAAACATTTAGTGAGTTTTGGTGGTCCCCACGCGCCTATTTTATTAAAATTGGATTAAGCCAGTGGCTTTTGCTTAGGAAATTCTCTAAACACTTAAAACCTGAGACTCGCATACTTCACTATTGGGCTTATCCAGCGCTTCGGAAAATTTCTAGCACGGATAATCAAGCGGATAAGTCGTCGGTGATTTCTTCATTGAACATAGTCCTTTAATATAATTTCTTATAAAACTTTTAGAAGCGGATTGAATTCTATAAATCCAAGTGAATGAACTAAGACTATACTACGCTTTTAAAGAAAAATTTACAATGGCTCAGATGAAAATTGCCCGCAAATGCTGAATTGGCAAATAAAAATTGCTTTATTCTAAAGCATAATTGCGAAGCTCATTACTTTTGAGCGGTTGCGATTTGATTAATGTTAGTCCATAAGCGGCGGCTTGAAATCCAAATTGTTTTCATCACTCTAGTTTTGCTTTTTTTGAAAATTCTTGCAAATATAGTTGCACAAAGATGGCCAGATTGCTTCGGAAAAGGCCAAGCATCAATGTTACGATTCGACATTTACCCTTTGGCAAAAAACTTGCCATTAAAGATGAAATCCTGGTTGGGATGCACTTCCATTTTTTAGTGATACTCATTTTCTCATTCCAATGGCCAGTACAGTTAGCCAAATTAGAAATGGTGGTGAATGTTGTCAAATGAAGCAAATATAATAAAACTGAAAGAGACAACAAGTCAATCAATTTCTGAACTAGAGAAATTTCATTTCTGCATTTTTAATTTTATTTTTATATACTTTTTCACTGCATTTCTTTCATACTGTCCTTATTTGTTATCATTATTATCATTATTAATCAGTCGACAATCGAATTCAGAATTCAGAAATGTAAAAATTTTCATCTCTAAATTGTTAGTTCATGCATTTTGTCTATTAATCAACTTAAATCCTTTAAATAGTTTTTTACCACAATATCTTCGACGTCGAAGGCTTATCTCGCCTTCTATTTAAAAAAACAACACGCAACGTACATATGTTTGGCCTCGGCTGGCTGGTTCTGGCTTGTCGAAATGAGGCATTTGGAAATAGGAATAAAATAACTAAAATAGGAACAACTGGATTTGCAATACTCAACAAATTTTAAACAAATTATATTAATAAATTTTTAGTGAAGAAAATTCTACGAGAAGATTATTTTAGCAATTCAATTTTAAAACTAAAATTTATTCACTTATTTTGTTATTTTATTATGAAAAACAACGAATAAAATATTGCTTCAAAATGAAATTCTTTGTTTCACTGTTTGAGGATTTAATAGATTAGTTTGGCTATAAATATTTCCATGTTTATGAAATAAATTCCGCGTTAACAAACAAATTGAATTTTTGAACATCTGTAGCTATATAATATGAAGAAAATTGCGGTATTAAGCCAAAAACAATTGGTGATAGTGGCCAAGAAAAAAAAGACCAATCGATTCAAAAAATCTTTCGCTGGTTGAATCCAGAAGTCTTTCTTTAACTAAATAATTCTTAGCTGTTTTTTGGATTTGTATTTTTTCTTTAGTGTGGGAGTATTATTTTCCATTTAAAATTATTGTATCAAAACCAAAAAAGATGGAGGGGAAGAATGAAAATTAAAATAACAAAAAAACCAGCTACGCCTTATATTCCATTATCTTCCAGAAGGCTCTCATAAAAGGGTCTGCGATTTGTAGATTAATTATCATTTTTACCACTCTTTGAATGATACTCTTTATTTCTAATAAGGCTGGTTCATCCTGCTTCTGAAATGTTTACATGGCCAATTCACCAGAGAGAATAGATAAGGGTGAAGATATGGCTGAGCTTCAGCAGCCATCTGTATTTCACTTTTAATGTCACTCTCTCGACCAACCGAAGCAGTGCTTCTAGTCGAAGAAACAAACCATTCAACCAACAATGTCTCTAATTAAGTAAAGATAAATATAAGCTGATAAACGCAAGCTTCTTACTATTTATTTTATATCAACTTCGACTTCCTTCCTTAGCTTGAAAGGTTTTATGAATCCTTTCTAATCGAATTGCCCATTCTGTATGTGTATGTATATTGTTGAATATAAATCTACAAATGTAGGAGAGATAAAAATCTTGAAGATAAAAATTTTCGATTATTCGCAAATTTTCCAATTAAGAACTATGTTTTGCCAATTTCTCCGAAATTTTCTTTTCTGAAATCCGAGAAATCAAAAATCTATTTCCAGTTTATTTCCAAATTCCATTTTATGCTTTTTTCCTCGAAAATCTCGTTCTTAATCAGTATAATTTTTTGTGATTTTTTGCTAAATTAATTTAAAGTAAATTATTATTAAATAATTTACTTATTATCTAAATAATACAAAAAGTTAAATTTTAATTCTAAAACTTATATTTTCGCAAATGGAAATTAATTCTTGCAAATCAAATGTAAATATAAATTAAATATATTAATAAATTTTTTATAAACATTTTTTCACTTATTTTCAGAAATTTCAATATTTGTTATTTAAAATTAATTGATTTACAATTAATTTGCTTAATTTTTTTAGTTGTTAACTAAATTTTATTTAATTCTACGAATTGATTTATTCAATTAATTTAATCATTTCACTTTCTTGCATCGCCTAAATCCAATAAAATAAAGTAGAAAAATCAATGTTTAGGAAATACGAAAATTTAGAAGGAGGAGAAGTGCAACTTATTCAGTAATTTTTAATTGAAAAAAAGCAAATAAATTAGAAATCAGATGCTGTATGATGCTGATTTCAGGTTACTAGTTTAAGCATTTTGGTCAGTCCATATCCACTGGCGGCAATAACCTGGTGATCCACTGATATTTTTTTATTCAAATTCGCCGGCATACGAATTTATCAAATTATTAAATAATTTATTAAATTAGCAAATTGTGGCAAATAACGGGTATTGTAAATTTTTCTCGTTTTTTTCTAAAAAATACCAAATAGGAAGTATTATAAATCACAAAAGTGATAAAATCACAAAAATGCGCACAAAATATTTATGATTGAGAAAATTTATAGCTTATCACAGATGATTAAATCCTTGAAATTTATTGTTTATTGCTTGAATCTCGAAAAGATTTTTGGTAATTCCTATTTAATTATTTTATTATTAAGAAATTAGAACAATGGTTAAATAAAATGTTGAAAAAATCTTATTCACAAGTTGAAGGTCCACCCTAATAGTTTAGAAAAAATAAAAAAAAGCAAACTAAGTTGGAATGGTTCTTTCCATTGCTTGTTGGTAGCAAGAAGTACTTTTTCCAGAAAACCAATTGGAAACGGAAATGCGGGTCACCAGAGTCATTTGGACTTTTTAATGAGATTTGCTGCTGGTAAGGATAAATGACAATGAGGCTTGAAATGATAATTTTGATACACATCCGGCCATACTTGCGTTTTGTATAACTATCAGTTAGTTATCAGTGATTATAGATAGTTGAGGAATAAAATATCGAAGAAAAATGTTTTTTCAATTGGTAAAAAAGAAAATGGAAATCATCAATATTTTCAATATTGCTTAATAATTATTACTAAATTTGAAGCCAAGTGGCAAAGATAAGAGAAAAAAGGAAAATTGTAGATCTCAGTCTATAAAAAGCAAGACCTAACAGGATTAATTTATTTGATGCTTGTTTTTCACATTGCTTCATATTCTCCTGCCTGCTTTTCTAACAACCATTTCTAATTTTACTAGTTATACAAACTATTAGGGTGCACCTTCTACTTGTGAATAAAAACACAGCTGGATCTGCAGCACTAACCGGATTTCCTAGCTTTAATCCTAAAGAGAAGAAAGACAGTTTCTTAAGGCAATAATATTATTCAGCCATCCTGCTTCTCAAATAATGCATCGAGGTGCTTCTCGATGCATCGAGGTGCTCAAGTTTTTTTTACAGCTTGGTCATCAGCATTATTCGCTTAGAGATCTATCAGAGATGGCCACAATGGTTTACTTGAGCTCAAGCAATGCACCTCGTCCTTCTTGCACCAATGTTGACTTCTTTAAAATGATTGATTTCCTTTTTCCATCAATTTTTTTCACTTGAGTCATGTTAAATACGATAAAGCCTTACATTCAAAAATCGCTTAATTGTTGTTCAACGAGGATTTCTCGTAGAAATACCTCCTTAAATATTTATTAAAAATTTAATAAGATTTATCGACTTTTAGCAATTGTTCTATTCCATCCTATATTTTCATTTAAAAGGCAAAAAATATTCGTTATGAAAATTTGAAATTCGACAAAGAAAGGAACAAAAAAAGATGTCATTACCCGATTATACTGCCGAACATGGCGACTATGGTACTATTATTCATACCTTTGATACGGAGCAAAATTGTCAAGTACAATGCCAAGTTCAATGTTCAATGCATCATTTTAGCGACTTGATGATGCAAAGATGGCTTTGTCCACTAAAGGTACTCTAAAATTTTTACTACTTGTAGCTATTTGTTATGATTTGATTCATGGATCGCATCTGATCGTGTGATTCTGAATATAGAAAAGTAGAAATAATAGTTTTATTATTACTATTATTATTATTTAATTACTATTCTATTTATATTCAGTACAATTAGTGTGAGAATCGAATAATATTGAAAATCTCCCTAACGTGTTTATATGATTCCCCGTTGAGTTGCACCCCACCGATTGAGAATATTGCAAATCATAGGACAAATGTTCTCGATGGTACGCTTTTTAAAATAGCTACAATTAAAGTTTCGCAATATATAGGCAGAATGCCAGAGTGGGGCCAAATATTTCAATAGCTACAATTAAAGTTTCGCAATATATAGGCAGAATGCCAGAGCGGGGCCAAAAATTGTAAGTTTGGCTCCTTGAAGCGAGTAAACTGATCACTAAAAGTCAAACACGGATGGTACTGAGAATTTAATTAATATGTATTAAAATTCGAGCGACTCTCCGGTGAAATGGTCTCTTTAATCCTAATTGCCAGTAAGCCAGCTAAACGAAATCCGATGGGCGCCTCGGAAAGAAGTAATAAATATTCAAATTGCAGGAATTGGATAAAAACTATATTCTCGATCGAACAGAAAACACAACTTCGGGCTTCACGATTTTTCTCATAATTTGTGCTATCTTAATGTGCCTTCTGTTTTTCATTTTCGGCATAAATATTATACGTCAGCGATTAGTTAAAAGCCGTTCGATCAATGAAATCTAACTTTTTCGTGGAAAATTTCTTGAAAAATAAAAAATTAAACGGGTGAACAAAGAAACGGAAATTTAATTTAATCATTCTAATAGACAAACTTTTCGCGGATTTTGTTTAGATTGCTGTTCGAGCATTTTCGCGGAAAAAAGGAATTTCTGGAAAATGGTGATAAAGCAAATGGCTTAATTGGATTGTATTCATTTCTATAAATTCTTCACAATTAATTTGCAACAATAAAAAGAATGAATTAATTTATATTTCTGTTGCACGCAAATTAATCCGGTGAAGAGCCACTTTCTTTTGAAAATTATTGAAAAAAATACTTTTTCGGTAAACACTTTTTGTATTCGGAGGCAAAGCTTGCCACAACTTTGTGATCGTAGTTCGTCTTTTGCATTCGGTTTGGCTTCATTTGGCTTTTGAGACGTCTGCAAGCCTATCCATTCAACTTCCATTGTTTTAGCTCATATATCGCCGGACTGTTATCAAAAAAGCATCATTCCATCCTTTTATGTGACTCCAAAAATTGAATTAGTCAACAGTAAAAGAATTTCCGTCAAAGAATTTAATTTAAAAGTGATTACTCGACAAACATACTTATTATCAATATTCTTTATTTATCAGTCAAAGCCATCGTTTATCAGGAAGAAATATAAAATCTTAAATTCTATAAATCGCTAAATTATTTAAATTAACAAAAGAAAATATTTATTATCACAAAAGCATATGGAGAATTCGTCATAAGCGAATTACGAACCGTAAAAGCAGTGAATGAATGATGTAAAAAACAACCGCTTAATGAAAATGGCTGATAATAAGTAAGTAAGTTTTCACGAAACTTTCAGTAATCCTTAGCTGTTTAAATTATCCATAAAATAATTTGTGAAAAGTTCATTTAAAAAATTCCCTTGAATGCCTTTTTCATAATCGCAATTATAAGAAATTGTAGAAATCTTCGACCGACTTTGCTTTTCATTAAAGAAATGAAATAGATTTAGGAACGATAAAAATGAGCAGAAAATCTGAAATGAACCGCAAATGTAACGAAATCACATAGCAAAAGCATCAGCAATAATATTTAGCACCAACATGAACCCTCTTCAGTCTCGATTTTTCTCGGTTTTATTGGACCAATCTCAATCACCGGATCTGTAAACAATATAACATGAACCATTTTGCACCTAAACCTACAATTTTAATTTTTATAGCAATTTGTCAGTGCCAGCCAAGTTCACAATTTTTCGTTTTTGTCAAGACTAAATTCAAGCCTTTGAAAAATTTCGAAACCCCTACAAACCATTTAAACATGTGGTGAGATTTTATCAAAAAATTTTCATCTAATCAGTCGCCTTCAGTAGATTCAAAATTAATTTTACAATTTATCTCTACTTTTTCTCAATAAATTATTAATTTATTAAATTTTCTAATAAATAATTTCGCCTTTCCAAACCCCGAATTTTTCAGAAAAAATGAAAATCAGAATTCCGTTCAGTGAATTTCATTCGAATCGATGATTACTTTAATTTTTTATTATTTATATCACATTTATTTTCGTAGTAATTTGCTTAAAACAAAAAATTATTTCCTTAGAAACAGTTCATAAAACTTCAAAACAAAATAAATTTACAAAAAAAATGAAACAAGATACATCAAATTTTCTTATTAACAATAAAATGAATACAGCATTTATATAACGACTGAAATGTAATTCATCTATCGAATTCTCCAAACTAAAATTTCTCAGAAAAAATATTTAAAAAGCATCGAAGTGCTGATACTGACAAAAAGCTTTTAGCATTTATTATAATTTCTCTTACTTGGCATTTCGTTAAACTCGATTAGAGAATGACTCTAACTGATCATTGAATAATTTGATTTCCTACATTAAAAATAAGTTAAAAAATTTGAAAAATTAGCGGAAAATACATGCAATAATATAATAAGAGGCATATCACCATCGCATTCAATTAAGCGTTACCAATAAGAAAAATGTTCATTTCCAATGAAACAAGAAACAGTGCTCCATCGACATCCAACACGATGATCAACTAGCATGAACATCCACTTTCTTTCATATGTACTTGACCAATAGGAGCGTCACTCAATCTTACTTCTTGCACTACAAACAAACAAACAACAAATTGCCTTTTCTCTAATACTATCCAAGAAAGTTTGTATAAAGAGGGAAATTTTATATATTTAAAAAACCCAGGTGTACATACCGCTTTGATTAATTTAATTGAATATAACAAGCAAAAGAATAATCGACCAAATCCTGTCCAAAGAAGGAGGAAAAAAAGGAATTTGTGGTCCCACAAAAAATTAGATAAGTGAAGAATCAATTCAAGATCCTCAAATTCACGAAGCAAAAGGAAAACTTAAGTAAAAAGTAAGTAAGAAAACTCAAATCAATAAAACTCTAATAAATATACCTATTTATTTACGATTTCATCGAAAATAAAAATAACTACACTTTATTTATTTATTTAAAAAAATTCTGAATTAATGAAATTTTTGTAATGTTTTGAAATAATGTTTTCAACAAAGTTTTTGAATTTTTTCCCAGATACATTTCTAAAAAATAAATTCATCATAGCAAAATTAGAATAACCCACATTGAAAAGCTGATTAAACACCAAATTTTTGAAAAATTTGTTTTGGATAGCAATGCCGGTATCATTTTATAAAAACTAAAAAAATGGAAAGAAATAACTATGATTCCAAGCTATGATTCCATTAAGTATATATATGTATAATTTTTTTTAAATATTTATAAAAACCTACGATATCTTCCCATCATTATTTTTTAAATGGAAAAAGAATAGCTGCGGGAAAGCGAAGCACTTGAACATCCGGAAACATGCGAATGACTTGGTGAACATGCAGAATTTTTTTATAAAATATAAAAATTTTTTTTATGAACTGATCTAATAAAAAGTGAACTTACTATCATGTTTATCCTTCTGATCTGGTTCAATACCCGGCAAAGCACCAGCGATTCGCCGAAAAAGCTGAAAATTGTTTTGATATAAATTCATTCTATATTAGAAATTAACAGTTTAGATAACTAATTAATTAATCAAAATATAACAAAATATAATTAATTTGAACAATATTAATATAAATAATATTTACAACAATTTCTATAAATTAAAAATAAAAAGTGGCATTAAAAATATCTATAGACCTCAAAATATAATTAAGTGTTTAGAAATCATTTTTTAATGAATAAAAAACATTTTCTTCTCGAATTTTATTATAAGGAATTGTAAAATGTAAAACGAGTGTTCAAATAATCAAATCAAAGGTTTCTTTTATTGAAGTCAAAATCGTTGTTATCAAATATTTTATCGAAATAATTTAATATTGCAATATGCAATATGTGTTAATATTAGTCTCATAAAAAGAGAATTCGAAGTTTATTTGCCTTTACCTACTATAAATTTTAAAATCTTTGCAGCTATTTGAAGCAATGAATTTTATTCCCAATTTAATATCTTCTAACGCTCTTACAATCGTTCTCTACAATTGACTCAACAAATTTTGTCCTCCCAAAAAGAATCCTACCTAACTCATGATAAATAAAAATAAATATCATTTAATTTACCTGCTTTACATTGTAGCCGGCTTTCGCTGATGTTTCTATAAACATGACATTCAACTCTTTTGCTTTGCGCTCGCCTTCTTCTGTTGAAACTTGTCTGCAATAATTTATCATTAATGCTAAATCTAACAACAATACTTTAAAAAAATTGCTGATACTAATACTGATTACAATACTTTCAATAGCTAATTCGAAAATTAAAAAAAAATAAAATAATTCAGTGAATCAATATCTTGAGTTTTCACTTTCAGGATGAAGAATAAACGATAAAACCAACCGTTTATCTGCAAGGTCAGTTTTATTGCCTACAAGCATAATAATAACATCACTCCCTCGTTCTGTTCGCACATCATCGATCCATTTCGATGTTTGATGGAATGAATTCGCATCTTAAAGTAGAAATTTCAAGGAATAGTCAGCATTTATGCGACGCTACTTGCAAAATCACTCCCTTAGTTTTTTTCCATAATGGAAAAAAATAACATAGTTCTACCTATCAATCAACATTTCTAGTTTGGCTAACTCGACTAATGGCCATTTCGCAAATACTGCACAATAAAACTATCTATAAATGAATTCACAGCCACATTCGCTTTTAATGAAGTTAAGAGAACGAATTCAACCGAAGAAATATATAACTCAATTAACGGCTTTTAATGCAATAGACGTTTTTTTTAAATCTTACTTAACCTAAGCTATTCGTAGAAAACAAAATACTTCAGAGAATCAAACTGAAGTTAATTGAAGTCAAGCAATTAATTTTAACACAAAAATGGAAAGATTATTTGATAAGCGATTGAAAAAAAAAATTTCGTTAATCATCGGTCAATACTGTTCTTGAATATTGAATGTGGCATTGCAAACAGAAAAAAATTTCCGCCCATGTAAACTAAAATCGAAAATTGAAGTTAGCTAGCTTCTTTCCATCAATCAATATTTTATACTTTATTTTATTAATATTTTTTCATAATACAATGGATTTAAATCTTCAATATACGATACATGAACTGGGAAAACCACGGGATACAAAAAAATACAATCTTGGAAGAAAACATCAACATCAATTCATGAAAACTGAATCTCAGCGATTAGCGAAGAGAGCAAAAACCACAAATCCTAGAGCAATAACCAAAAATGATACTCACTTGTAATATCATAAACGACGACTGCTACAGTCGAATCTCTAATATATGAAGGAATTAAAGAACGAAAACGCTCCTGTCCCGCTGTATCCCAAAGCTGTAATCTCACCTATAATAAAACAACAATTACTTTAAAATAACTTCGAAAATTTATAAACAATTTTTTGCAAAAAAAGCAACAGAGAAACACTTACTGTCCGATCTTCAAGATACATTGTTTTACTGAGAAAATCAATTCCTATGGTTGCCTGATAAGTATTATCGAAACTATCATACATAAATCGAGTAATTAATGACGTCTTTCCAACTAAAATATATAATTCCAACATCATATTAATACTGATATCACTGCTTCAAAAATTCAATAACAACTTCAATAACTTAATAAAATAAGTAAAAATTCATGGATTACCAATAAAAATCGGCAAATAAAAAGAGAAACTTCAAAAAATAAAAATAAACAGGATTAAATGGAAAAAACGTATATAAATTTTCAAAAATTAAGCTGATTTTAAAAAAAACCAGCTCAATTACAAAAAAATCATAAAACACAGGCATTAAAAAACATTACCACTCTGTTCGCCAAGGAAAACAAGCTTGAACTTTTTAAGTGGATTTCCAAAATCAGACGCCATCGATGCTTTTTGCCTAAAAAACTGAAAGAATATTTTTCAAAAATGAAATGAATTAAAAACGCCATTTTCTCTATATCGCAACAAATAATTAGAAATTCCGTAAATATATAAGAAAATATTTCAAACTAAGCCAACAACTAAATGAAAAATCATTGGAGAAAATGAACTCGGTAGAATTCTGCGCACTCACCCTTATTTGGATCCCCAAGTGATTTTCTGGAGGAAAGGGGCCATCTAAACGTCCCCCGTGATCCTTGCAACACCATGGAGGAACCAAAATTATCTCCCTTTTCAAATCAAATCGACTGTTTTATGATAAAGAAGACAATTATATGTTATATGATAATGAAAACAGATTTAATTATTAGCATTTGGAATTAGAGTTCCGCAAAGAGAACAGTGAAATACTTCGTTAATCATCAAATAAGACCACCAGTCAACCTTTCCTTTGTTCTTTAAAAGGCTTATGAAATGCACGACTTCAATAAAGCAGCAATACAATCGTAGGCAAGAATTAGGTAGGATTCTACGAAAAGAGACATAGCAAAACATTTCTTCTCGTTCACTTCTTGAGAATGGCACTGAAAACGAAAACAAAACGACGAATACTCGCCATGAGTTAGAGAGAATGTTGACGATCAAGCCAAAGCCTATTAAAACATCTCAGGCATTCCGATATTCCACAAACGACATCGAAATCCACTTCCATCAGGGAGCACATAAAAGAAAAAACCAGTTGAAAACTTCTAAAAACTAAAAAGCGGCTATTCTAAAGTTCGAAGTTAACGCACCAGAAAGGTTCTGAAAGCACCGCAACACCTGACGTTCCACAGCCACAGGAACGACCGCAGCTCAATCCTCTGCTCATTTCCTCTAACTTTTGACACTTCCACTTTGGCTACCACCAGGAGACTCGCAAAGGTGCCAGGAAAGATCATCGAAACGAATAGACGTGAATAATAAACAATGCCGAATAGACGTTCCACAATAATTTCACAACGAAAGTACACCATCGCATAAATATTTCCAATGGAAAAATTTAAAAAATAAGATATTTTCAACAATCGACAATTAAATAGTACAATACAACCAATAGAAAGCAAATAAAATTTCATTGAAATGCAATGAAAACGAGACCACCTCACTTGATCAGCGCGCAAAACCGCAAAAATTTCAGCAACAACTTTCCACGTATCGGCACGACTAACCCACTGAGAACATACTATTTCTCAGTCGCCATCAACTCAACATAGTATTCCAACGATAATGATTTTACAGCCGCAATGGCGCGTAACGCGGCCCGGAACCTACAACACTTTTCCAGACAAATATCAGTACGCTATTTTCTTCCGAAAGTACCAGTTGATAATCTCGTTCTGCTTCCAATGCCTGCAGCCTAGTTAATTCCAGTCGTATAGTTATATAATTTAGATATGTACGATTGGAAATAATTTACTCCAGCAGTCAACACATATAACGGAACCATGAGTGCAAGAATACGAAAAAGCCAATAAAATTTATCAAAAAACTATTTTTAGCAGAGGATGTTAATAATTTGAAGAAATGGTTCTATTTACCATCTTAAAAAATAATGGTAAAAATACAAAACAAAAAAAATATACCAGTATTTGAAACAATAAAAAAAACCATAATTATCCTAAAAAGCCTAAAAATATAATTTACAAAATTTTATTGCATTTTATAAGCTCTTTACAATTTTATAACCTTTAAATAATGAAAACCTATATAGGAATATACAAATATCATTAATACAGTAAATAAAAATATTTAAATGTGATTCAAATCCGAAAATAACAAAAATAATTAAAAACAAGTAAAAATCATGGCTGCCCAAAATTGAAAGATTTTGGTACTGGTGCATTAATATTAAAAGCATATCCACCTTGTTCTTCAACTTTTTTGCTTTTTGCCAAAAGCATTCGCTGATTGCAAATTTTCAACACATTTTGAAGCGAAGCAGCCTTCTCCTCATTGATACAGGAAGTTAAAGCTCCAAAGAATTGCTCATCAGATTTCCGTACAACTGGAAAAAAAATGAAAACGCGTTAAAATTTAGTGAATCATGAAAAATAAGAAAAGTACATAAATCAAAGAAAGAAACACGAATATAAAAAAATATTAAAAAAATATGCTTGGCAAATAAAAAATAATAAAAAATATGCCAGGTCAATCTATTACTTTCAAGAGTTTCTTTATAAAATACGAAGACATCAATAAATAATCCATCATCTATGGGAGTATTAAATGATTCGATGGAATCTTCTTCCCAATCATCATCATCAGAATCATCACCACTGCTCGAATTGCTCTCGCTTGCCTAAATAATTCATATGAAAATTTATAATGCGATGAAGTTAATTCGTTTCAGAACGAATCAAAGACCAAAACGAACATTTTTTGCACAATCGGCAAGAGTTTCAAGATATTCCAGCGTGTCCTCATCTATTTCATCTTCACTATCATTTAAGTCATCACCTCTGTGTATACTGTCCTGAAAATTAAAAATTTGCAGCTAAGCAAAGTATTTACTAATAGGTTTAAAAAAGATAACCTCAATTATTTTAAAAAAATTCCGCAGATTTTCAGTAAACTGTTCTAGAAGTTTATTTTAAACCTTGATAAAAAAAACTAAATTTGCAATATTCGCAGTTAAATTTGAAATACTTAAGTGACCTGTTCGATCACATTTAATCTTGATTAGAATTCACTGATAAATCGAAAAATAAATCTTTATAAAAAATAACAGCATCAAATAAAAAAAGGTAGACACTAAACGCAGAGATGAAGAAATATATATAAATATATATATTTATATATAAAAATATATTTATATTTTTAATAAATATATTTATATATAAAAATATTTATATATAAAAATATATAAATATATATTTATATATATAAATATATATGAAAGAAATATATATATATATATAAAAGAAACAAATAAAACGACTAAAAACAATAAATTCGATATGTATTACAATAAACTAAACTTTAATAACTTACCTCATCATCTGAATCATCTGTATTTTCACTTTTATCCATTGCCAAACGATTTTCAGCTCGTTTTTTTAATGCTTTTTGTAAACCATCAAGCAATTTTATGATAAATTCATTCACCTAAAATCATATTTTTATGACCACAAAAAAGACATCAAAAAGAAGAAAAAAACGTAATAACAAAGACTTGAATCAATTCGATTTAAAATCAAAAAATCACCTTTGACGGTTGCTCATTCAATAATGGGGGCCTCTTAGTTGTTTCTAAGCGAATAAGAGTGCATAGAGCTAATACCATCATTTTGCGATTGTGAATTCCAGTCATATTATGAGCAGTTTTGAAAATTTCATTTACAAGATGATTTAGACTGTTTGCACCGTGAGGTTGCAAATGACATGCCAAATTCAGAAAAAGGTCAGTATCATAAAATATGCCAGCCGAAATCACCTAAATTGTAAGTTTAAGATAAAAGTTCTAATATTTTTTCAAAAATAAAAATCAAATTCATCGATCCAAATTTCGTACAAAAAGTTAATTATTTCGAAAAATTGTAAAAAAAATATATACAAACCGAGAGACACATTTCATGGCAGGCATCACCAGGACTACATTGGCTAAGTTTATTTACTATTATCTGCATAATATTCGGAATCAAATTATTAATTCTTCCCTGCAATGAAAATAATAATTATTCCAAATATGCAGAGTTAACAGGAAAAATATTTGAAGAATATAATAAAAAAAATTTAAATTATAAAATTTAAATTTAAATTATAAAATAAAGCCATCTTATTTCCACCATCTCATCATTAAGATAACAAGATAACAAAAAACTAGATAAACCTGGCATTGCAATATTAAGCACTCAAGAAGTTTCGCTGCATGTACTGGTTCTTCCATTGATGGATCATCTAAAGCAGCCACAGCGATATCTAATAAAATGGTTACTCGATCTGGTCGAGCTAAAAAGCTATCCGTATCCACTGTCAAGTAAGAATGCAACACTGGCATCATATCTAAAAATAAAAATATAACAGATTTTCTGAAAAAAATTGTAAAAATTATTAAAAATTTATAAGGAAAAGCAAGAAAATAAAATATAAAGATATATTCCAACAGGAAAGAAGACTAAATCATCAAAAACGGACCGCTAAATGTTGCAGTATGTTCATTAAATAACTTGGGCATAAAGAAATATATCTCCCACATCGGTTCAGTGACTGAATGAGAGATCAAAGCATTTGTAAGGGCCAATATTTCTTCATAATAATCTAAAAAAAGTTAAAATGTGGCAGTTATAATTTTTAAAAAAATAAGAATCGACGAAAATTCGAATAAATTTTTGATGAAATAATATATTTGTGCCAAACATACCAATTAATTCAGCATCAAGAACAGTTCTGATTACTTTTCTAACTTCTTCTTCGACATGAAACATTATTTTACTATTATCCTCCACCATATCCACGATTGTTTCCAAAGTTGATAGAACACCAGTCGCTGAAACCATGCGATCGTCTTCTGGACCTTCCGTTATCAAGTTTAGGAAAATTTTAGCCTAAATCAAATAAAATGATGAAAAAGTAGTTAAAAAAAGATTTTCTGAGGAAGAAAAGATAATTCTTTCAAAAATTAAATGAAGGAAATTGTTTTAATTTCCAAAAACAATGCCGAAGAAACTAACCAGTTCGGCAGTCACATCAACAGCTATCGGCATAACTTCATCCGCAAATTCTTCCAGTATCGCATCAATAACACCTGACATTTGCTCTATTTCTGCTCTAGCTACTAGACGTAAAACTTCCAACACGATTGTTTGCACATGAGGTTGAATAAAACGATGGACTGTAATGAATTCCTAGATTATGTCCAATATAAAAAAAACGCCCACGAACAAAATTTTAAGCATTCCATAGTTTTTAAAAACAACACCACTTCCAAATAAGAAATAAATAAATAAAAATTGGTACCTCACTTCGTAATCTTTGCAGCATCGGAATAGCTTCGGAATAACTTTTAAAAGATATAATTTAAAAAAATAGATGAGAAGGAAAGAAAATATTCTTAGTAATATTTTAGAGCTTTCTCGTTCGCTTTGTAAAAACTATATCACAATAAAAAGTCAAATAATTCTAGTAGGATATTCGAACAATTTATTATACATTCCATGATCCTTCTCTTCTAAGTTCTTAAACTTGCCTTCTAGATTATGAGAATGTCCTTTTCTCCCTGCCATCATTTAGTTTCTTTTTTAAGGTTTGTCCTTCATCTAATCTTGACATACACGAATACCGTATACAGTAGTGACTTTATTCCCTTTTCTATCCTTTTCATTCATATTCGCCAAAATTCAATGAAATGGCTTTAAATCGAACTTCGTTGGCACTAATTGCAAACTTACAGAAATAATGCAATTTTAAATAAGTTATCGAGAAAAAATAATAATTAATAATTTGTCGAGAAAAAATCGAATTTTTGAAAAAGAATTTTTCAAAACTTCTCTTATAAAAAAACTTTTTCTTTACCTCTTATGGGTGGTCATAATCATCCTCAACCTCCAGTCCTCTACTAGAGATTTGAGCGATTGAGAATCCTGCACAGTATTTTAATTGCTTCTAATAGAGCGCTCTTCTGGAAGGAGATCTCTGATGTTATTCTTGGAATATGCTGAAGCCATTTTTCTAGTTTGGGAATCACAGCTCCAAGTGCCTAATTATCACTTGATTCTTACTTTCTATATCTTTTCCAATTCTTTCAGATCTTGGTATTTCTTTAATTTATATATATATATATATGGATATAAGAAGCTAGAGAAATATAAGAAGCAATATAAGAAGCTGAAAAAGAAATTGGAAAAGACCAAAGTACTTCCAGAAGTGACAGGAGTAATAAGAGTTATCATCGCTAAATTGGAAAAATGATTCTAATAGTTTATAGGAACAACATTATGGCTCAATATCAATATCCAGAAGAATGCATTGCAGGCCTTTGGTGGAGAACTCGAGACTGAAAATGACCCAAACTACTTACAGGGATGTTTTTCTGAATTATGAAGTCATATTTCATCATATATTATAGAAAGCAATACCAATATTACGAAGCCATATGGAAAATTTATGAAGTGGGCTGCAAATATTATGAGATTACGAAGAGAGCTGCGAATTTTATAAAATGATATGATTCTATAATTTAAAATTATCAAAAAAACAAAATAAAAATGAAAAAACAATACGCTTTTCTTGTTGAGCCATCAAATTCTGAATCGCAACGGCAGCTTCAACTTTTACCGGCAATTCTTCATTAGCATCTGATAATCGTAACACAAGTGAATTGATAATTTTTTCTAGTACTTGAACAGAAATTTTAGCAAATGCAAATTCCTTAAAAGATAATTATGGAAAGTAAAAAAAAATTATCAAATTTTGATATAAAATCGAAATTAATCAATGATCTAAATTAATTGCATACCGATATCACCCAGCAAGCTCTTGCACGTAGAAATTCGCACTGATGAGAGATGAAGGGAAAAATAACTATATCAATAAGTTTTTCAATGTCTTTCTTGTATATCTGAAATATGGACAATTAAGAAATAAAACCTTCAAAAACAAAACAAAGCAAATAAAACAAAAATAACCAATGCCAAAAATAACCAAAAATTACGATCCAAACAAAAAATAACTTGCGAAAAAAAATGAAATAAACACGAATGAAACGAAATTTTAAAAAAAGAATCAAGAATGAAAGAATATTCAATACATTTTGAATCTATTCTAAAGATTCAGCTTTTCTAAAAGATCCATTCCGAATACTGAAAAACGAAAAACAGAATTAATCAAACTAGATGATACACCATCTAAAACAACTTCAAATTTTAAATTTTTCTTGCCAAAATGCACAAGAAGTATGCTTCATCCTAGCGATAAAGCTCTTAATATTAATCAATAAATTTGAAAAATCCATTTTGATCATTTAAAAAAATTTGATTCCTTGAAATGAAGAAAAAATATAGACTCAAACTATATTTATATAATATAATAAATATACTATATAAATACATACTGTATAAACTATTTTTCTTCTTTTTCTAACAGCTCTCACCATTACTAGTTAGGTTGGCTCCAACGGCTACAAGAATAAGACGCTTACAAGCGCGCAGTCTGATGCCATCGTCGACAGTACTGGAAACCATTCCTTTTTCCATCGTCTAAATCCATATATTGCTGGTCCACCTATACGTTCAAAATCTTTTCTCATCGTATCAGTCTCATCAAGTCCAGGTCTTGATTAGCCCACCTCGCTTTTGACGCCAACCGTCACACGGTTTAGCAAATAACGAAATATGCGTCAACTCCTGAGGTGGACGAAGGAGAATGTGCCCTAACCAGCGAAGGATAACATTATTTATGCAAGTGATATTTGAACGAAGGTGGATGCGATCTTGTGATATTTTATCCGCTCGACGGATCTGCAATACCTTAGACAAGAGTGGTCAAAGCCAGATAACTTCTTAATATCCTCCACTCTCATTGGTCATGTCTCAGAACCATATAGTAAGATCGAATGGATCACGGCAATATAGATGCGGACTTCTGTTTTTATGGTGATTTCACGACAATTCCATAAAAATTTCGTCAACCGGAAGAACGCATTTCTGCCGTGATCCGAGTTATAATATTATCTTTTGCGTGTCCATTTGGTATTAGAGTGGACCCAAGGTATTTGAAATCAAGCACTTCCTCAACCGGCAATTAATTTACAAAAGAGGCATTTTATCAGCTTTTTGCACATAAGACGAAAAAACTTTCTTTTGTATATATTAACCCTGAGTCCTATTCTTGCTGCAGTTTCTGACACGTATTTAATATTACTTGCATTTCATCATAACTATCAGCAAAAAGGACAACATCACCAGCGTATTCAAGATCTGTGATACGATGCTCTGGACTAATTCGGAGACCTCTTGAATGCCGACAAGCAATGTCCATTATCCAGTCGCATAGTTCAATATTGTAGGGGAAAGGACGCAGCCGGACATCAGTTCTTATTTCGAAGGAAACTGTCAATTCCCCATATACACAGACCTGCGCCGACGTGCGCTCATAAAATGCCTTTATGAGTCTAATGATTTTCTCTGGAACAGCATCACGTTCCATCACCATCCAAAGTGCCGTTCTCTCAATTGAATCAAAGGCAGCCGCAAAGTCGATGAAATACGTGAGTGTGGGTTGCAAATATCTGAAACGATGTTTCAACACCCTTCTTAACGTGAATATGTGATCAGCACAACCGCACCGCGATCTGAATCCAGCTTAGGGCGCATCCTGCTGTCTCATACTTCCATAAGTCTGTTGAATAGCAGGGAAGCAAAAATTTTTGCTGAGACGTCTAATAGGCTGATTCCTCGATAATTTTCGCAGCATGACTATCACCTTTCTTGAGAATTGGGAGCAGAATTGCTTTACTCCAATCATCTGGTAATATTTCTTTTTTCCATACTAAAGAGCACATTTGTTGAAGGTGCCTTATGAAGAATAATGAATAGCATTTGAAAAGCTTAACCCGAGGACCATCTTCTCCTGGAGTTTTGTTGGCTTTAAGCTTATGGATAACTGAAATTTTTTCTTCTGTTGGAGGCCCACAATTGCAAAGCTATATCAGGGGCAACAGATGGCGCTTCATGGTTAAGTTTGGCCTCAAAGAATTCTTTCCATCTTATGAGGCGATCCTTAATACTTTTAATTAGAACGCCATTGCTGTCTCTTACCATTTCACTGATCGGTTCTCCGAGTCGTAGTTGCTTTATGAAAAGGGCGGCGTTTCCTATTATCACCTAATCGAGCAGCCACCTCCATTCTTGAGGCCATTTCACTCCAATAGAGATTTCTGTCCCGCCTTGCTGCTTTCGTTACAAATCTTCAAAGCACCCGGTAGACAGGATCACCTGACATTGCTTTGGTAGCTTTTTCAGGCAATTGGACAATTAGCTTCCGATACTTAACTAGCGCACTTCCTACTAGTATGCCCTAGCGTGAAATTGGCTGATTTTCGAAGACATTCCTTTAGTTTGGACCAGTATTCATTTGCCATTCCAGAAAAATCATTGATATTTGTATCACTGAGATGCTTCAATAATTCGGTTTAAAATACGCTTACTGTCCTGAATTTTTTAGCTTGAGATAGTTGAAGGAACTTGGGGGATGCTGTTTTTTGCGAGTTGTCAATTTTATGCAGAACTTAGCTCGAACCATAACATGGTCAGACCCATGAAGATTGCCCGTTTCAACTTCGCAATAGGAACGACTATCTAGTACGGAACTCTTGCAACGGCGATTGACTAAGATATAATCAATCTCGTTGAAGTGTTGGTTGTCCGGAGAGTTCCACGTGACTGGATGTTTTTATGATGCCGGAAGCAAGTATTAGTAATAAAAAGTTCATGCTCTTCAGCATATCGGCATAACGAAGACGTTCCCCATTGGCACACCGGTCTCCGATGCCATATTTGCCAATTGTTGAGGTCATCACATCTGCAATATGACCTACGCGAGCATTCCAGTCTCCCCCGATTATGACCATGTCATGTTTCGGTAGAGACTTCGTTAGCAGTTGAAGTTCCACATAGAACTTATCTTTATCACGGTCATCTGCTGATAGCGTTGGAGTATAGACACTGATGACCGAGATATTGCAGAACTTACCCTTAAAACGTGTATAGGCCATACGGTTGTTTACCGGTTTCCACTCAATCAAAGCGGACCTTGGGCCTTGTCAGACATGACAATGGCTACGCCCCGAGTTATCCGGAGCACAATAGTGATATAGCCAGTATCTCTGCTCTGAATCAGGATTAGTAAATACTCGAGACCCGAAGTGAGGAAGGTGGACCTCTGATAAGCAAGCTATATCCACACGATATTTAGAAAGGGTGTGGACAGTGATAGCTTGACTTGCAAAATAAGTGTTCTGACATTCCATGCAGACACGGTTAATACCTCGCAGAGAACAACTATTCCTCTTGATAAGTTTCGAGTAATTACCCTGGCTTGCGAGCACATTTTATTTATCAGTCTTGATCAGAAATGAAAAATAAATTCACAAAAATAAATCGAGAATATTTTTTAAAACGACCGCTCAGCAAAAAATTTTTTGAAAAATTGATATCCCTGCCCCAAGCAAGGTAAAGTGCTTGAAAGGGATGAAGGAGGTGGGCTTTCGATAGGCTAGTGATAGATTAGTTTTACCAGACTGGAAGCATCCGTAAGCTTTGAAACGTTTCACACATGACCTCACTGGTGTGCACATATCGATTGAAGATATATCTGGTTTTCTTGAAAGATTTAGAGCATATCTTTTGTTTCCATAAATATTATTTTTCTATATTTCTCCATAATGCTAAGTTTGTGACACTATGTTCCATGTTTTTTATGAAGTTCGAGAACTCTACAATCCTTTCGCCTTAGAGTTACTTGAGAGTACAAGCGAGTCTTGAGAAACCAGTCGGAAACTTTTTTGTATTCAGTTTCCAGTTATCAAGAAACGAAGATATTATTTCATCATTATTAAATATAAGATTAAATATAAGATATTATTAAATATAAGAATATAAAAAAATAAATTTCTTAAATAAAAAAAAATCATTCTTTGAATTTAAATTTCTTTATTTATTCTTGGTTTAATTTTATCGATTTCAGTATAGTTGAATGTTCCTCATTACATCGCCAAGCGATTTGCTGGCAAAATTTGTCTGGTCCGAGAAGTCAACGGAACGAGTCTAGCCAAAAATGCTGAGAGCTTTTAGAAAAAAACCGGATATTACCTTTAATCTGTGTCAATTAATCATGAACAGGTGCGCTCGATTTTGTAACAATCTGCCATTATTAAAAAGTAACATTAAACTAACATTAGTGAATAAAGCAAACAAATAATCAGTGCTCATAAAATTCATCGGTAAAATGATCTACAGAAATTACTGAATCGTGCAGAAAATTTATTCGTATTTCGAAGAAAATAATGATAATGAAGAAAGTCGAAGAACAAAAATTATCAATTTGTAAGCCCTTTTTCCAGTAATTCTTATCAAATTTTATTAGAAACCGGAAACTCCGAATGATAAAACCACCATTTTCTAATAATAAAGCCATAGCCTTGTATTTTTCATTATTTTCATTTCCTCATCTTATATTCCTCATTTAATCCTTAAAATTTTTTTGGATTTTTCAGCAGTAAAATGAAATAAATTTTACGATTAGAGTGAAATTAAAGAAATAAAAATTTACTTAAAATTTACTTAAAAAAACTAAATATCGCTTCTGAAGAAAAATGTAAAAATCCCTTTAAAAAAATTTCCAATCAAATCAAACAAAATAAAAGTATTGAAAAAAATATTAGATTTTTTATTAAAAAATTTTTTTAGACGAAGAAATTTCGATTGTTTGTCGAAATGTTCAGTTTATTCTCTTCTGAAGAAACGTTTGCAGGTTACTTGTTCGTTTTTCATCATCTAAAATAAAAGCTTTAAATCAAATATAAATAAATATTAAAAATGCAACATCGACAAATTTGATTTACATATATATATACATATTAATATAATTTTTATTAATTAAAATAATTAATAAAAAAAGATTTGAAGAAAAATAACTTCTTGAAAATTTTTTATTTTAATTTTTTCAACCTAGGGAGGTAATTCTATACATTTTTTCTTTGAACAGCCATTTCTGGCGTGACCGCTGGATTGTGAAATTTGACCAAACAAGTTTTACCGAGAATTTAGAAATCCAGTAGGGTAACCAATATATCCGGATTTTTGAAAGGATTTATTTGCCTGCCAGAAGTAGAATCTCAACTTCGAAACACGCCAGTTATTTCTTTTTTTTACTTTTTAATAGAAAAATGCAATAAATTGATTACCAGAACAAGCATGTCATTCTCGATTGTGTAATAATAAGTTTCGCCCTTATCATCCGGATTCTCTAAACGAATGTGTTTTTCCATCAAGCAGTCGCAATCCTTATCATAGTTGAAAGTGATCTACAAAGTAAAAGTTATGTCAATTTTATCAGTCATTCATTGTTCATGAAATAACTTTTGCAAGACATGCAGACAGAATTCTGAAAGAGTCCGGCGATATAAGGAAGATGGGAAAAGCAGTGGGTAAGTCTTAAATGGTATTTAAACCGGGGAGAAAGGAGGGATCGTAGCAGTGGAATTAGCCAAACCAAAACTGATGTGGCTATCAAAAGTGATCATTTATGAGAGTGCCGGACTCTCTCCTTATTTCCTCATCAAACATTCAAAGTCTCTCCATCTCGATATTACTGTTTTTCATCTTTCATTATTTTCCCAGATCCTATTTACCAACAAATAATAATCGCTGCTGTACACACATTTGGAGTGAATAATTAAAGAAAGTGGTAAGCGATCACAATTTGTAGTTAATTTCGTTCCATTGGCTCATTGGCTCAGAAGCAATTTTTATTTCAATTTTTATTTTTATATATTTCAATTCAATTTTTATACGAGGTACCTCAGCACTCAGCTTTTTTAATACGATCCAAAACTTGATGTTCGAGGCGATAATCTGAGCGACAACTACTCAGCTATCTTGCCTCCTGATTAAGTGCAACATCGAAAACAACCATTGGAAATGCTCGCAAATTACAACCTGATGCCTCCCACCATCGAGTCCTTCGTCCTCAAATGTTTCATTCAATTTCCAATTTTTGTATATCGTATCTTTTTTGGATGTTAAATTCGACATATCATATGCATTTTCAACTTCTTTCGACTTCGCGAAAACTTTTGTCACTGATGCGAGTTGGATCATTTTGCGAATAAACCAGTTGACTCCTTTAAAAAATGGATGGAACTCAAGGGTAATAACCTTATATACGGTCATCAAATTTTTTAACTTGGAATTTACTACTCGTAAAAAATGAGAAAATTAAAGAAACTAAAAATTTGCTATATTAACAAACCTTGTATCATTGTCTAAGAAATCCCTAAAATTGTTATCTCATTTAAAGAGCCAAGGGTACGACGGTTATTTTATCTCCAATGAGGGAAAGAAGCAGAGACTCGATAGGAATAAAATTTTTTAAAAATTAAGTCCGAGAGGATCTCAGAACTCCTACCCATACTCCTATCTTTTCTCTGGAGAAGTCTCACCCTCGCTGCATTTAACCAAACCAAAAACGGTGAACGTCGATAGAGAAAAATAAGTATTAAGAAATTATAACAACTATACTTGCTGAAAAAATGAAAATCCATCTTTTCCATTGTTTATTATTTTTTAAATTGTTTATTAAATCGCGTTATGCTGGTTCAAACGATCATTATTAACCTTTAGAAGCCAAGAACTGATCGAAATTCTCGCTTCTTTCCAAATGAAACGTTCCGAAGAACTTTTCTGGAATCGCATCTGTTGAAGCCATCGCACGATTTGGTTTCCCAAACGCTATTAAGCCGAAAATAAGAAAAGTAAAGAAAGAGCCGCCACTCATCTTGTTGCCAACAATAACAATGAAACAATTGGAAAGGTCAAACCACAAAGTGTAATACAAAAGGTCATTAATTAATTAGTGGGGGAGGTCAGTATACCTATTGATCGGATAAATATTCATTGTTATTATTACAACAAATCTATTCTTTATTGCTTTCAGAAATTGAATAAAAGTTCAGAATTGTTAAAAAACAACACTGAAACTTTGAGCAGTAGTAAACAAAATAAAAAAATAAATACAGCAAATAATCTTTGAGATACCAAAGTTGGAAACCAGAGGTGACAACAAACTGTTTTATCAAAAATGAACACGCCTAATGAATCGATTTACCAAGCGCAACGGTTTCTTCAAAGGTCGACTATCTTTCAGACGCCAAATTATCTAAAATTCATTATTCATGCCATATACATCGCTCCAATATTTATAGCTATCGTGTTCTTAACATCATGAAAATAGCATTTCAACCAATAAATATATTATTTTTACTAATTAAAATATAAATTTGTATAAACACTTTTCGCAATTTAAATTTTTTATTCCCTATTTTAAAATCAATCAAATGCTTTCTAAAAATGTCATTACGAAACAAGAAAAGCATGTGAAAAAACTCGTTCGGCTTTCGTCATCATTATCATTTTTCATATTTTCAAGTGAAATACACTGATAAATAATAAAATAAAGTTGAAAATGATAAACAACAACAAATAAAATTGAAAAATGAGATAAAAATAAACTCATTTCGTTAAAAGAAAAAGGCATAAAAAATTGTAGATAAAAAATGGGAACACAATGAAATTTTAGAAGAAAAAGGCATGAAAAATTATCGATAAAAAATGGGAACACAATGAAATTTTGGAAGGATTAATCAATGATCAAACGATACGACGATCATTTAAAAGTTTTGAGGTACAAATTCTGATAGTTCAGACTTGTTCTACGAAAGCAAGGAAAAGATTGTACAAAAATTGCATATATATATAAAATAATAACAATCCTTTTTTACCTAGCCAATTTGCATTCTGTGCGCATTTGTTTACTGATGCGTTTGAATTTATACGCGGGATTATTCTGCCTTTTTACTTTACGTGTCAGTGTCTCCTTCAGGTATTTCCATATCGACGTCTTCTTCCTCAAAATATCAGTTTGTTGTCGAACGTGGTCGTTAGAAGGAATAGTCGAAAAAAGAAAAAATCGCCATATTTTTTTTGTAAATTAAAACTCGCCTTGAGCTCATCCGCTTGAAGATCAAGCCGAGCACTTTTAGCACCCGACAAATTTATTGGCGACATATCATCATCAGTTTTATTATTTTCAACAGCTTTTTCTCTTTCCTATTAAAAACTTTTACTTTATAAGAATATTTTTGAAATAATTGATTTGTTTAATAATGTAATAAAATCAAATTAATAAAATCAATATTTCAACCATATAACAAAATTTTCAGATTTTGAAGTCTTAATCAATGGATTAATATAAATTAATTAATTGAAATGAAGTAAATTTACAAATAGGCCTAGGAATAATAAATCAGTTATAAATTTAAAAAAAAAAAAGCAGGAAGACTAACAGAGACATATTCATTTTCTTCAGACAATGGTGTAACAACTGAATTGTCGATATCCATTTCATCAACCTGGAAAATAAATCTCTGAATGCAAATTTCCTTGTGAAAATTTTGAAAATTCATTAAAAGTTTTTAAAAAATACTATGTAATAGACCTTAACAAAAAATGGTTGCTCGATACGTTGGTAACAATCATCATCATCCAATGGAAAATCTTCGACTCCAGTAATCCTTTCACCTGTCTCCGTAATACACGTAACAACGTTGATATTTTTTTCAATAGCTCTAAGAAATTTATCGGTTTGCTTGTAGTGCCTTGACGGAGTCGTCAACAGTTCACACAACCTAAGCCCAATTGCGCAATAAAATATGTTTCATTGTTACGCAAATTTCTAGCATAATAGATTAATTTAAAAGCAATAAAGCAATCAACAATACGACATTATCTAGAGTTACGTAATATCTTTTTCGCAATATTTCTAGATATTTTAGAAATTACGAGATTATGTGCGAGATTCTTTGTAAATTTAAAAGTTTTACAGAAAAATAAATCAGAACATTCAGAAAATATCCACTATTTCAAGTACATGATAAGAAAGTAGGGTAAAAAGCTGACTGGATGACAGTCAAACCATCAAAGATTTCGATTCCTGTTTTGACGAAACCTGCCATTAAAGGTAAAGGTAATGGCTAGTGCTATGGATTTGTATCCTAAATTATAAACATTCTCTTGCAAATATTTTAAATATTTTTTATAAAACAAATACAGCCAACCAAACTAGCTTAATAGAAAAGAGAATATATTTGACACTCATAAATGATATATAAATGCTTTCTTCATATATTTTTTTATTTTGTTTCTAAGCATCAATTTCAAATATTTATTCTGTCATGTACTCTTTGCAATGGATTACGATAAAAATTCGAGTGCTTTTTGTTTTGTTTTGTCTGGCTTTGGCGGTGATCATTTTTATCACCTTACTACATTGGCTGACACGTCTTATTATTTTGTTTGTCATGATTTCTAGCATCATTCGCTTAAGGCCAATAAATTATTTAAGTTGATTTAGTACAAGACATATGATTTTCGACATCTAATACAGGAATATAGCATCAATTTGATCGACGCTATAAATATACAGGTAGCTTTTGATGATATATCTAAATAAAGAACAGTGCAAGGTGCAGGAAATTCAAGTCAAGAGTTGGTCCCAAACCATGAAAATGTCCCAAACCATTGAATTATTTAAATGAATGAAGGAAATGATGAAGGCTAACCAAAGAGTGGATGTTTCACACAATAGCTGCATGCAATGAAGAAGGAAAGGTTTGGGCATGACAAAGGAAAAGTTTGGGAATCTGATAAATTGATTAACACCAGATGAGGAAACGTGTTATTCGCTGCTAATACAACGATTTTTTCTCGAATGGAATGGATTTTCACTTGCGATAAAAAATGGATCCAACAAGAAAACCTTTCAAATGGCTCGATAAAAATGAATCTCTCGATACACACCAAAATGCAATCTTCACTCGAAGAAAACTTTCAATGTTTGGTGGTCTACTTTCAATGTTTGGTGGTGGTTTGGTGGAGGAGAACTGATCCATTGCAGCTTGATTATATTTTCTTCGTGATTACAGTAAAACACTGGAAGTAATCCAACAGAAATAATAAATATTGCAATCAGCACTGGTCAACAAAACAGATTTCACCAGAGATTCTGCATGATAGGATCGTAAGAAGAATCACTCGCAAAAAATCGCCAGTTGAATATCCTTCATCCACAAAGCCTTTCTTTTTCCTTAAGTTTTCTGTTCACTTGTTTTCTCGAAAACTTCCTCAAATATTTTGTAAAAAAAGAGAATCTTACAAAGGCCTTTTAGCAGTTTATTGATTCCAAAAGCTCGCGAAAAATTTTTAAGCGAATGAAATAAGTGTATTTGTATTACTTTGACAAGAATGTGCTGATTGTAATGGCGCTTATTTGTTTGAAAATAGTTTTTCAAAAAAAATTACGGTCTTACAAAATAAATGACGCAAACCGACTAATGGAATATAAATACGAATATAAATATGGAATATAAATATATAAATTATAGTGTTCCCATTTTAATTCTCGATATTTAAAAAAAACTGAATTGAATTTAAAAATTTAATATTTAATTTAAATTAAATTTAAATTTAAAAATTCCAATTTTATCCCAAATCCTTTTTCTCTAATATATATTTTTCATAGGTAAAAAATGAAAAAAGTTTTAAAAATTCTCAGATCAAAACATTGAAAATTCAAACAAATGAAACCTTTGAATTGTAAAAGGAGTGCCTTCAAATTCCCGAGCTTTTCTCATGATAAATTCACGCTGATTTTTCAGTTGTTCATCTGCTGCAATGAGTGCAACTTTCGCATTCTCTTCGAGATTTTCGAATTCAACTTTACGCATCTCCAGCATTACTTGCTAAAAATTTAAAGGAATCAGAAATAAATAAAAATATTTTGATATTTTGATGAAAGCATTTAGACATGTCACTTTCAAATAAACTGAAAAAAGAAAGAAAAATTTAATTTATGCTCGAGCAAAGCTTTTAATTTGTGCCTCGAAGAACATTGATTCCAAAGACGATTGTAAAATAAATGGATACCGAAACATAAACGTATATTTTCTGGCTAAACTATTACCATACTGAAAATAATGATCACAGATTTCCTCAGAGACTTCCACAGATACTTTTCATTCATAAACAACAAAATCTTTCTATTTTCTCTTAAAAGCTGCGAGCGAAATAAATGAGCTCTCAATTATAAAAAAAATGTTGCATAAAAATTAAAACCCATTAATTATCCTCGACGAACCTCAAGTTTCCACAGAAATGCAGGTCGAATAATGTTCCATTTAAAACATGGTTTACCGAATGATGCAACAAATTCAAAATATTGTTCAATTTCATCATCGGGGCATTTCGAAAAACTTTTTGAGGCTCTTTGCAAACTCTTCTAAAAAAATAAATTTTATTCACAAAATAAATTGATTAATAAAATTAATTTTAAAAAAGTATTTGATTAAAAATTCAGATTTGGTTGTTGGCTCCGCTGGCTACTTGAATGAGACTTCTTCACTCTGGGAATGGATGAAGAGGAATAAGCTTAGCATACGGTTTCACTTTAAATGAAATATTAGATAATATGGAAGTGGATCCTTGCTAATTTCGAATAATTAAATTTAATCAAATTATTTAGATTATTTTTTACTATTAATTTAAAAACAAAAATAAATGAAAAAATATAGATCAACCTCATCTGGAATGGAAAATGAAGTTAATGCACTAAAAAATCTCTCCGCTAAAGTCCTATTGATTAGTGACGGTGGATCAAATTGCGCCGCATCGCTTCTTTCTAAGTCTGCCATAATATCTCTGAAATAAAGTGCAGATAAATAAGAACACTTTGGGCCTTAGAAAAAAACGAAAAACTGCCTTTCAAATATTGCGTGTAAAATTATTTCCCGTCAGCAAATATAAAATGAGTCTTTAAAACCATAGTAATTTCTTATCAGTTAGTAAACTTAACGTTAATGGCCTCTCTTGCCATCTCCCTACTTTTTTTCCAGTAATCCTGAACAGAGCACGAAACAATCAGTGTTATCCTTGGAATGCACCATCTTTTGAATGTCAAATTGGCAGTACAATTATGAATACAGCTTCGGTAAATCATGGAATAAAAAATGTCGAGAAGAGTGATCGCTGATCGCTTATTATGCATTGCATAATGGGTTCTGCTATCTTTCGCAGCTGTAGTATGAAAGCTGAACTCTTCTAAATTCTTTCGCTCCTCTTCCAATGATCAGCATATTCTTTTATATGATAGCCATATTCTTTTAAAGGACATAGGACGCTGATATCTCATATAATAGTTTCATGCACATAATTGCATGTATGATTTCATGATTTTTAAATATCATCAGTCTCTTATATGAAAACGTGAATGATGGAAATACTCGGAAAGGGTCAAAAAAATGCAGAAGGCGAGGCCAAGTACGATTGTAATCTAACAATACATAACTTCCTGTTATCCTACGTCCTCACCACATCTGAAAGTACAAAATAACCGCAAAGTACCACACACCCGATGGCTCACCAAATAATTAACCGCAAAACAATAATTTGAAAATCAAAGTAAAGCTCGGCCAGTAAGAATTGAGTGATCGAACCCTGAGCTGCAATATAAAAAAAATCAGCTTCAGAGTATAGAACGATGCGAGAAGAAATCATAGTAATTAACAGCACAATATTTGATTTCACGTATTTTGTTGATTGGTTGTTGTTTTAGGCTTTTTCATTTGTTTCGGGTTTTTAGTAAGTCCTTCGATTGCTCGTTTTTTCGATCGCCATTGTTTACTAGCGCTTAGGCAATTGCTCCATCAGTAGTGGCACAAAGGTCATCCCAAAGGTCATTTCCAGTTAATAAAAAAAAATCCGTTTGTCTAAAAAAAAGGAGAAATTATTTTTCATCTTTTCAGTAATAAGTAAATTGTTAATAATTACGTTTATTTTATAAGTCAAATTGAAAGATAAAAATTTCTTAAAAACAATTTCAGTTCCACAACGACTGAAATGGATAGAAATCGTTTGATCGACGCTCTTCAAGCGACAACTTCATCAACGGAGCAAATAAAAGAAGCGACTGCATACCTGGATGAAGTAAGTCTTGAATTTCGCCATTTGCGAGGTCGGCAAAGGTTGGGTTCCTTAGAGCTTCGTTGATGTTAGCCTCGGATGCATAAGGCGATGTTTTTCGGCTGTGTGGGCAGCGCCGACGAGGAGTCCCCGCCTCATCACTCTTCCTTTTTTCCACTTTCTTATTCTTTCAATGAAAGTTTTATTTGTTTGCACTCGCTCTTCCCTCGTGGCCCTTCTTCCTCATTAATAAGCGAGCATTTTTCACTGTCCTTCTAGCCGAAAAGTGCTTAATAATCGCTAATAATAGAGGAGTTGTCAAAAAATTAACCAAATAAACATTTTCTTGCAAAAAGTGAGAAAGTTTTGCATGCCTTCCTATTATTTTTGTTGGTAATTATTATTTTTTAAATAAAATTTATTTAAAAAATTTTATTTATAGATTTGTAATATTTTTTAAGGTTCAAAAACTTGAAGGAATCGCTCCTCTTTTGCTACAAATTGTTGTTGATGAACAAATAATTTGTACTGCTCGGCAAGCTGGAGTGATTTATTTAAAAAATATGATTAGCAGGTTATTTTTATTTTTTTACATCAGTAAAAAAATCACTAGAATTTATTAAATAATTCATTTAATAAAAATAATTAGTCAAATGTCAAAATATCAAAACCGAGTTTAATATCGCTTATATTTTCTTGTTATTTGATTGTTTATGATTGATCGTTCTGTCTTTTTTTTTGTTTGTTTTTATTGGTTTTTCATTCATAAGCTTTCCTATATTTTATTGAAAATAAAAATTAATCATTAATGAAATATCAGTTAGACACAAAATGCTGCTGGAAAACGAAACAGATATCACAACATTTGAATATAGAAAAGTGGTAAAAATTATATTCAAACTATATAATTCTAATGTACAATTTTACATTTTTTAAATAATTTTTTATTGGAAAATAGGTTGGAATGTTTTATTTCCTCTCATTTCATCGTGTTTTGTAACATTATTTCAGGAGTTGGATCCAAGATGATGATGAAAAACTTTCTAATTTCGTTTTATCTGAGGCAGATAAAGATTTTATTCGGGGAAATATTATTGATGCGATTGTTGCTACACCAGAAGCTGTTAGGCAAATTTTATGATTTTTTATATTAAGAAAAGAAAATTAAAAGTCAGTCTTTCATTATGAGGAATTATTTCCCTGTTAAAACATATTGTATTTTAGGGTTCAGCTTTGTACTTCTATCGGTATAATATTGCGACATGATTTTCCTGATTATTGGACTCCCATGGCACAAAAAATCACGTCTCTTTTACACTCGATGGATGGACCATCCTGGTTAGGCGCATTACTTGTAATACGGCGTTTGGTGAAGTTATACGAGTTCGTTTTCGGTTCTGTTTAACAGTCATTGAATTCAATTTGATAATTTGATGATATCATTTCAATCTACCTTTTAAATTGCAGAAATTCAATTTTTTTAAGTTATTCTTTTCTTTATTTTTTATTTGTCTAAATTTGTCCGAAGCATGGACCTTAATTCTTAAGCCTTAAGATCTTATCGCACTTATGATGAGTTGAATTGCATTGATGAATTATACTTGGATTTTTTTATAGATACCGGCGAGTGAAGGAAAAAAAACAGTTAGTGGAAACCATGTCAATATTAATGCCAATGTTATATGAACGATTAATAACCCTTATGCCTGACAATTCGCAAGAATCGTGCCTTTTGCAAAAAATCATTTTAAAAGTGTTTTATGGTCTTGTTCAAGTTAGTACATAATTTGACATATAATTTATTTTATATATAAATGCAAATGGCAAAAAAAGATGGATTTTATCAATATTTCTATTTATGCTTTTATATACTTTTATTTTTATTATTATTTTTTGTTTATAAATTATTTCAAATTTATTGATATTTTATTAAAGAAAAAAATGTCATATATTAAATAATGAAACAATTTATATTATATTAAACAATTTTTTTTTAGTTCTCTTTAAACTTGGAAATGTTTTCTATGGAAACTTTGGGAATGTGGTTTGAACAATTGAGATTAGTAGTTGAAAGACCAGTACCTGTTGAACTTGAAAATATTGATGAAGATGATCGTCCTAGAACTGTGTGGTGGAAATGTAAAAAATGGTCATCGATTACTTTGCATCGAATTTTTGAGAGGCAATTTCTCCATATTTTTTTCAGATTTATTTAGTTCCACTTTAATTTTATGTAACAAATTTATTCATTTTTTCATTTCATTTTTTCATTGCCATGTTTTTTCTTTTAATTAGCTCTGGAATATTTTTCAATATTAATACTTTATTTTTTGGATTCCTTTTCAGTTGAAATTATTGCAGTTAAATGAGAATACGTGCTGCTTAATATTCGTGATGAAATATTCATAAAATTATCATTAATATACTATAAGTAATAGATGATTCATTAAGATATGGATCACCTGGCCAGGTTGAAAGTGATTACAAGCTATTTGCGGAATATTTTTTGGTTAATCATGCTCAGAGAATTTTGCATACCTTACTGGCTGTCCTTGATCGATATCGGCAAGGAGAATATATCGCTCCACGAGTCTTAAATTTTATTCTTGGTTATGTAGCCACCGCTATTTCGCAGGCTCGAACATGGAAAGTAATAAAACCTCATTGCCATGTAAGAATTTTTTAAAAGGTAACAATATTGGGTGAGCAGTCTAGATTAGTTAGATTCTTTTTTATTTTATAGTACATTCTAATTCGGCTGACTACCATTTTAGGCAGATTTTTTTTTAAAAAGTGAGTATGGACAAAAATACGATGGGTCTCGATTCTGTACAACAGATTCTAAAAAAATGATTTTTTGTTATGAAATTTTTTAGTTTGAAAATTTCAGTAAATTTCAGTAATGTCAGTCACTATTTCAATTTTTTAATTTTTAATTCAATTTTTTTTTAATTTTTTTAGGAACTGATTTGCTCTGTTTTGCTTCCTTTATTCAAATATTCTAGTGATGACGAAGATCTTTGGAAGAATTCTCCGGAAGAATATGTTCGCTTAAAATATGGTCAGATCTTTTAGATTTTATATAAAATTAAAAATTTTAAATATTTATCTAAAAAAGATGTTGACTATCTTTCTATTACTTAACAATTATCGATATCATTGCGTGTCAGAAGTATGTTTGATTGAGTTTTATATTGAGTTTTGATTGAGTTCTAAATATCGAAATAATTTAAATGCTGAATTATGTTATTTGTAATTTAAATTTATATTAATTTTTTAATATTAATACAATATATTTATTTTATATATATTTTATATTCATATATTTTTTATGATTTTATTTTACATTAATTCGGATTAATTATATAAAAATTATTATTATTTATGGAGATTATTTATTCACATTGCTTCAATTTTTTCCAGATCTGTACAGTGAAATTCAAGAACCTGTAAGTGGGGCGACAAATGTATTAACAGCAGCGGTGAAAAGAAAAGATATTCTGCCTCCAGTTTTGGAGTTTCTGTTGAAAATTCTAAATTTATCAGAGTATGGTATTAAGGAGAAAGATGGGGCTTTGAGAATGATTGGTGGATTATCTCAAATATTGCTTAAAAATAAGGTTTATTTTTTTATTTCCTAATTTCAAAATTTCGGCTACAAAACGAATAAATTTTATAAATAAATTTTGAATAAAAATGCAATGAAGCGAGGTGAAAGATAACTGTATCTTACTTTGTTCACTGCAATGCGAAACTTGTTTATTCCTTCTAATTTAGATCCATCTGCTAATTTATCATCATTTTTTTTTTAAAAAATCCTTAGTTTGTGAATTTGTTCTAGAGATTCAGCTGATTCAGTTTATGAATCTTAAAGAAAATAGTTAGATAATTATATAAATATAAATATAGTTTATATTAAAATTTAAATTTAATTTTTTTTTTGTCTTTGACAGGAGTAAACCTGCTATTATGTCAAAAATCCGGGTGGCTGCTGGGGACCCACCTGTAACTCTATCCCCAGGTGACTCTATGGTGAAAGGGTCAGATACACTTCATACGGCATCCGCATCTCCCGACGCGCATGATACGTCGAATCCGGTGGTACATGCGATAAGTATACAATCCGAACTTAAAGCGATCCCAAGGATGGTAAATAAAATGTGCTTTCAAGCCAGGGTAATTGCTCGAAACCTATCAAGAAGGGGAACATCCCTTTGCACGCACGGCGAGGTATTAGCCGTATCAGCATGGAACGTTAGAACGCTTATGGACGTTGCAAGCCAAGCAATCACTGTCCACACCCTGTATAAGTATCGTGTGGATATCGCTTTCTTATCAGAGGTCCTTTTTCCTCACTTTGGATATCAACAAATTATTAATCCTGGTTCAGAGCAGAGATACTGGCTATATAACTGTGGTGCTTCGAATAACTCGGGACTAAATGGCGTAGCGATTGTCATGTCTGACAAGGCCCATTCCGATTGAGTGGAAACCGGTAAGCGACCGTATGGCCTATGCCCTTTTAAAGGGTAATTTATGCAATATCTCGGTTATCAATGTCTATGCTCCAACTCTGTCGGCAGATGACCGTGATAAAGATAAGTTCTATGTGGAACTTCAACTGCTAACGAAGTCTCTACTGAAACATGACATGGTCATAATCGGGGGAGACTGGAATGCTCGCGTAGGTCATATTGCAGATGTGATGACCTCAACAATTGGCAAATATGGCATCGGAGACCGGTGTGCCAATGGGGAACGTCTTCGTTATGCCGATATGCCGAAGAGCATGAACTTTTTATTACTAATACTTGCTTCCGGCATCATAAAAACATCCAGTCACGTGGAACTCTCCGGACAACCAACACTTCAACGAGATTGATTATATCTTAGTCAATCGCCGTTGCAAGAGTTCCGTACTAGATAGTCGTTCCTATTGCGAAGTTGAAACGGGCAATCTTCATGGATCTGACCATGTTATGGTTCGAGCTAAGTTCTG